GCCGTAGGACATGAGGGAAAAGCATAAAGATCATCAGTTGGACTGTTAATACTCACAAATTTAGCCTGCTTCATCCATTCTCCTTCATGGTCACTGTCCCCCAATATCTGTGCTGAGGCACAGAGTAGTATGAAGTATCCACGGACTTCACAATAATTCCCTTGAAATTGTCTTATGCTTTTCCTATTTCAATATTATTATAATTGAATAGGTTTTCTGCTACAAGGAAGTGTATGAGCTGTTTTTTTATTATTTTAAAATGTTGATAGCTTAGTATGAAATTTAAAAAAATTCCAAATTAGATTAAGTTATTTCCATAAACAAGAAAACTACATCAGTTTATTAATTCTTCATAATAATAATGTTGGAATTTTTATTTTCTCCATAACCAACGTTTCAATATATAGAATTATTTTCTTTTTCTGATCTCTACAAAATGGTTTGGAAAGAAATTGATAAATTCTATGTTATTAGGGTAAAAAATGGGAAAACTCAATTTTGCCGTATTAAACCTCCATAAACTCCCGTTTCCATAGACCGATTATGATGGTTTGCAAACTCGTTCGAATAAACGGAGGTTTACACTTTTATACATCCAATTTAGATTAATTGGTCCTAAAGTAATCGTGCTAACGGACATATATATATATATATTACTAAGAAAATCAAAATACCACAGTACCCTAAAAACATTTGATTTAATATTAATATACTATATATACTTATATATGAATGAGGGTGTTTAGCTTCTTAGGACCTTGAACGAAAAACAAATCAGTCCCGGGCTTAGGACTTAACATGAGACCTACGGCAATAGCTTATTCTCTGAAATTCACTAAAATGAGATTTCGAAAAATGTATTTTTTCTTCATTCTTTCTATGTGGGGCAAATAAATTACACCACACTGCATCGTGATTAATGCCAGTCATGTCTACTTAAACATTTTCCTTTGATATATTAGCACATAACGTTTTGCAACTTTAATTATATATTAAAGGTGTAAAGTGGTTATAATTGTTTGTGTGAATTGAAGAACAAAATTGTACTTGTATTGCATTCATCTACATGTGTAAATTCAAACTAGGCTATATAAGAGACGACTGATGAGTAATTGTTGAGAGACAATTATTGACAATAGTGTAATTTAACTATAATGGTGACAGAGGTTCAATTTTTATGGCAAAAGTCCATTTTAAAAAATCAGTCGATTTCTTTATAAGATTTTTACGTTTAGGTACGAAACTGTTTAACTTTGTGGTTATGAAATCTTGGTTACAAAAATACAAATATTTGAATTATTTCGTTAAGGTTCATCAAATGTTTAAATTAGAAAGTAAATTTGAAATACTAAAATTAAATACCCCCACCGCAGCAAACCTGCAGTCTTGGCGAATTTCCATTTGCCTGATTGGATTTAAACTAAAAAATGTCTCTTTAAAAATATCACATTTATTCTCTATTTAAATCAAATTAATTTAACGAGTACTTAGGTTTACTGCAACAGGGAGGGTAAAAACGTGTTTTTTTATGTAAAATGTTAATACTGTAGCTTAGTAAGAAATGAATGTATTTTCTAAATTTTATCAAAATATGTCCATAAACAAGCAAACTACAACAGTTGACTTATTCTCCATAGGGATAGCATGGAAATTTTTTTTTTTTTTTAAATACCACAAAATCAGTCTTAGTTTGGCCTTCAAACCGCGCGTGGGAAAAATATACTTTTCCGACCTTGAGGAAGCAAAACGTTTTTCGTGAGTTCCACGAAACGTCAGACTTTGCCATGGACGATTCCTTGATTTGTATATATGTGTATTTTGTGTGTTTTGACGAGTCCTGGACATCATAGACAAAAATAAAGGTGAGTGGATTCTACAAACTTCATAAAGGGGGTTTCTTAATATACGTGTAAAACTTTATATACGAATCATTTAGTGCTGATATCATATTAACAAAATGTGTCTTATAGCTTATTTACAATTTTAGAAAAAACTCGACTTAAAAGTCTGAAAAATTTAAAATAGTCTTATTCCTTTATACTTTATACTTTATACTTTTCGATGAAATGGCGACCATACAAAGTAGGTATTTTAAGCCAAGTATGAATGGAGATTTCATTTGTTTCCGTTCTTCTCATGACACTTCAATGCACGACTATTTTAATATGCGTGCTGTTATATACATATATATTATATTTTACTATTGTAGGCCTATGTAAGACTACTCTGTAGGCCTATGTAAAACTAATCTAAGCTAGGCTCATGTGAGTTCTTCTTGTCATCCACTACTTCCGTGTCATCTCCAAAATGTAGCTTTATGCTAAGTAGTCTGTTGAATGTATTTTCTAAAATAAAACCTTTTAATATACTTTGTGTTGTGATTATTTAGAAGCTCAAGAAGAGCTAAGATTGTGTCAGAAGTGAACTATATATTTTGAACAGTGAAGTGTTTAGTACAAGTGAATTTTCTCAGTGAATATAAGTTTAACCTCAAACGTTTCAAGCCCCACAAGCATTAGACCTTAGTGGCAACGTGTCTGAAAACTGGAAAATGTTCAAGCAACGGTTTATGCTCTACTTGGAAGCCCTTGGATCCGAAAAGATGCCCGAGAAACGAAAAATCGCTATTTTGCTGACCACTATAGGTGATGCGGCTCTAGAAGTGTACAATACATTCTAGTTTAGTGAGTCAACTAACAAACATATTTTTTTCGAACTTGAAATGAGTTAAACTATGTGTAGTAGGTTGTTCCACTGTTAATGTAGATGATGTGTCGTCATTGTCATATTCCTCATGTCCGTGCAGCGCCATTATGTAACGTTATTACATTTAAATAGAATAAAATATATGAATGAAGAATCTTTTTATTGTCAAACATTTATAACAAAAGTAACAAGTAAACAAACATTGTTTTTATGAAAACATCTGATTGAATTAAATTAAAGAACAGTATTTCAGCATACATAACATATACCTTCTCCAATATTGTACAACATAGATTTAGTTTAAATAAAGAATATTGTTATCTATAAATAAAAAAGTTATACAAATAAAAATTAAAAATAAATAAATTATAAATAAAAATTAAAATTGCATAAATTAAGTACTATCCACGCGATTAGTATTAAAAAACTATAATGTGCATATAGATATAACTCTGTAATTATAGCTACGACTGCCACTCAAATCAAAGCCTTTACCGAATGTTCCTTTTCAAAATATTTAATACCTCTTATTTTATGTGAATGAGTCCACATTTAATATAAATCTGTTTTTACATAAAAGCTTGGTTTTCCTGGGTACAAATACAATGTACAATAATGAGATGGGGATTAAAATCACATATTTTATTTTCAAAGTTGTATGTTTACAACTAGAATATAGTAGATCACCATGAAAAACTATGAAACAGTATACACAAATAATTGCCAGTCCATTTGTCCGTGTGTAAAATGCATTATTAAAGGTGAAATAGTTTGGTTGTGAGAAAATTTTTGTTAATTTTATCAATTCACTGATAAGCTTTTTCATTGAGTTCGTAGTTTTGTTTCAGATTGTTTTCTAATATTTCAATAGTTTCGAGGAATATTCAACGGAGACAACGTTATGGACGCTTTAGAAAAGTTCGAAATTTATAAAGCTACCAAAACTTAACCTAAAGCGACAAGTCAAGCGACAACTCAACCTCAACATAAACGACAAAATCAGATTCCAGTCTAACGCTCTGTATGATACACTAATAACAAACCAATATCAGCTGATGAAAAAGGAGCCGAGAAGTACATAGTCCACCGCCTGACCATCTTCCGCATCACAGTCATGACCTTCACCTACAACTGTGCGGTCGGACATTGTAAGTTTTTGTCTGTAGGCCTACTACTCGTATTTGTTCGTTAAACGTCTGTATTTATTATGTGCCCATGTTTTGTATTTAAACTCTTGACGACCTTTTTGAAGTGAAAGTGTTAAATGCCAAGATCTATTAAGTCCTCGAAACACGTAATCCATAAGGACTAACAGGATCACTCTGGCAGTATTCAGGTAATTTTATACCTTTTATAGTTTGTTCTGTGATCCAGAGACAAACAACTCAAAATATAAAGTTAAAACTTTAAATGCAAAGTGGCTAGGTACTATTAATGTTTCGATTATGAACACAAAAAATACTTCGTCATTAATTATATTAAATGTTAGCACAAAAAAGTGCATGAGGTTTATGTAAGATTTTTGTTTGTTTATTGATTTAATAAAGCGTATAAAATCTATTTTGGAAGATAAATTTGTATAGTTTATTAAAAATATATGTTGTGAAATGGATATCGCAGTTTTAAACAAGAAAACAGTTTCTAAATCTCAAAGTGTGTTGTTTTTAAATCAGGAAGGGCAAAGGTTTTCACGACTCTGAGGCTTAAAGGCTTACCTTAATCCTTCAACACACTGCCACAGGAAAACATTTATTTTCAAATTTGTCATGCAAGACGTACAGTATCGCTATTTGTGACTATATTAAGTAGGCTACTTGCTGGACAATGTAGGCTAATAATAATCATTGATAACACCTTACGACCAAGAAGTAGTCTATTGAATTTATTATCTAAAATAAAACCTTTTAATATACTTTGTTTTGTATTATGTACTTGTAATATGTATCAACTCTCCCCGCCTAAATTTCACATTTTAGAAGCTGATCGATATGCCTCCTCCACACAGTTCCGTCTTCCATTTGAACTTAGTATAAGAGGGTACCTTCTCTTCCAATGATAGTTCCAAAACACCATTTCCGTTTATGACTTGAGTACTCTCTAGCCTGTACACTGTCCCCCACTTGAAATTGTCTGCGCACAGCCATTGCACTTCTTGCTGACTTGTTACGTTGAGGAAGCAATAATCCTAAGTGCGTTCTTATCTCTCTTCCATGCATTAAACTGTAAGCATTTGACCCGGTTGAGTTAGGGGATTGACGAAGTTGAATGAGCAGGCTATATAATTTAAGATCTAGTTAACCTCCTTCTTCTTCCATTGCCTTTAATGATTTCTTTATTGTTTGAACATATCGCTCGGCTTGCCCGTTCGAGGAAGGATGGTACGGTGCAGTAGTTTTGTACACACCATTAGCGGACAAGAACTGACGGAATGTGCTAGAAGTAAATCGACTCCCATTGTCTGGTACTAGAACTAAAGGTATACCGAATGTAGCAAAAGTTTTCCGAAGTTCCCTGATACACCATTCTGTAGACGTGTTTTTAGTTGGGATCACTTCAATCCATTTGGTGAATGCGTCTACAATAATGAAATACCATTGTCCTTGCATTGGGCCAGCAAAGTCTATGTGTACTCTTTCCCAAGGTCCTTGAGGAGTCAGCCATGGATGATTGGGTTCTTTAGCAGGTTGGTTTTGTTTTAAGCGGCATTGTTTACAGGTGCGTACCAGTTGTTTAATGTCCTTGTCGATGTTTCTCCATGTGCAATAGCTTCTAGCAAGAGCTTTCATTTTATCCATACCTAGATGTCCAACGTGTAGTTCTTGAAGCACAGCATGGTGAAGAACTTCTGGTATTATTACCCTATTACCCTTGAATATACATCCATCTTGCAGCGTCAATTCATTGTCATGAAAACCCAGATGTTCAAAAGACTCCCCTGTCTGAAGGGTACGTAGCACTGATTGTAGGAACTTATCTTCAGCAGTTTTCCTAGATATGATTTGACTGTCTACTAGAAACGAGTCCAGCTGGCTGATTTGAAATAGACTACAGTCATCCACATGATTGATTGAAGTGTGTTCAGTTGGGAATCGTGATGAAAAATCAACATTCGCATGGTCTGTAGTTTTCCTGTATTCGATTTGATAGTTGAATCCAGATAAGAAGTATGCGTAATTGAACAGCCTCGTTGCTGAGATTGATGGCAAAGTCTTGTTTGGATGAAATATTGATACTAACGGTTTGTGATCAGTCACTAGAATGAACTTACGTCCGTAACAATAGGGGAAAAACTTGTTGAGGCCCCAGTATATACCTGTTGCTCCTTTGTCAATCTGACTGTATTTTTGTTCACATTTAGTCAGAGTACGTGAAGCAAAACTAATAGGCCGTTCAGTTCCATCACTGTATCTGTGAGAGAGAATGGCCCCAAGGCCCACCGGTGACGCGTCTGTTGCAAGATTTAAGGGAAGATCTGGATCATAGTGAACAAGTACATTGTCACTAGATATCTCTGATTTAACTTTCTGGAAACTCTCTTCACATTTAGTTGTCCATATGTACTTTTTCCCATTCCGTAGCAGTTCATTAAGTGGGTAAAGGATTGTGGCCAAACTTTTAATGAACTTATTATAGTAGTTAGCCAATCCCAGGAACTTTCACAATTCATTTACATTTTCTGGATGTTTGCTATTCATGATGGCAGAAATTTTTTCCTTTGTTTTGTGTAGTCCCTGAGCATCAATGGTGTGTCCCAAATATTGGATACTTGTTTGAAAGAATTTGCACTTGTCTCTGTTTAGTCTTAAGTTTTTGGATCTCATTCGCTCTAGTACAGTTCGTAATCTGGTTAGTAACTCTTCTTCTGTCTTACCTTGAATAATGATGTCATCGAAAAAGCACTGTACACCAGGAATCCCCTGTAAGGTTTTGTCCATAAACTGCTGCCAAAGGGAAGGTGCTACTTTGACTCCAAACATTAAGCGATTTACTTTGTACAAATTGTACAACCATTGTTGTACACCCCTTTATGCGTGCTAAGTTTTTGCATATGAGCACTTTCTTCATCCATCCCCATATGAAGGTAGGCATTAGAAATGTCCAATGTGCAAAATAGTTTACCTCCATTCATTTGGGTGTAAATGTCCTCAATTCTAGGAATAGGATAGTTTTCATCCTTGATTAATTTGTTCACTGTGACCTTGTAATCAGCACAAATGCGCACTTGACCATTTGGCTTGACAACAGGTACGTTGGGGGTACCCCAGTCTGAGTGATCTACTTTGGTTATTATTCCACATTCTTCTAGTCTCTTGAGTTCCTTTTCAATTTCACTCCTTTTAGAGAATATGGCACTTGTCTTGGCTTCACAAATATCGGTTTTGCGTCATCCATGACCCTTAATTGTCCTAAATGATCAGGTATGACTCCAATTTTTCCATCGAATACATTACTAAAGTCGCTCAACATGTTTCCTAGACTTGATGTCTGATTCATTTCTAGACTTTTTATTTCACCCCAATCTCATTTGACTTCCCTAAGCCAATCTCTACCAAATATTGCATGGACATTTTGTTCGATCAAAAATAGTTTCCCGACAAATCTTTGCGTATTGTACATGCAATTCACAAACGATACACCTCTTGGCTTAATAGTTTCCCCTGTGTATGTACGAAGTTCAACGTTGGTTGAAAATACCTTTTGTGGAATTGACAACTTCTTAAAGTCTTTGTAGGACATAGTGCTGAGGGCTGCACCCGTGTCTAGTTCCATTGGTACTGTTGCCCTCAATCTTCATGTTTACGATAAATTTGTCATTGCTTCTACTGTTGATGACATTAATGTGAAACTCATTCTCACTACTTTCTTCAGTTTCATATTCTGTTTGATGATTTCTGTACTTTGTTTGCATCTGCCATTTTGTTTGAATGCATACACTAGCAATGTGTCCCACTTTGTTACACCTTCGACACGTTGCTTCCTGAAAACGACACTCATGTGCCCGATGAGATGGTGAACCGCAGCGATTGCATTTTCCTTTGAGCTTTTCAAAAGCTGTTTTGAAATTAGGGCTGTTCGGTGAGGATTTCAGTTGTGTTGGCTTAACACTTTTTTCGTTATTATTTTTATACTTAATCTGATTCAATTCACTTTGTTCCAACGTATTATGGCTTACAGTCTTACTTTCTGATTTTGCAAGTTTCATTGCTGAAGCAATGTTCACTAAATCTTGATAAATTCGTTTTTCACGATCTTGTAATAGTTTAGTTCGAATGTCTACGTCTTTCAAACCCCGGATAAACTCTACCGGTAGTTTTAGAAATAGATCTGCAACAGATTTACCACAGCATCAATGAAATTCACAATTTACAGTCATCTTCTTAAGAGCAACTGAAAACTCATTCACTGTTTCATGTTCCCTTTGATTCTGCGAAATAAATTTCTGTTTTAAAGCCCATTGGCTTGGCTGAGGATCCACGAATTCTTTCAAGAGCTGCACTAAGTCATCATATTGTTTGTCCAAAGGGTCCTCAGGAGTACAAACATCATAGAGTTGTTGATGTAGTTTAGGTGTTAGGGCATGTAGTAGTGTATATACTTTACCTTTATTATCAGGTTCTTGGTTATTTAGATACAAAAATACTTCCAGTCTTCTTATGAAGTTTGTGATAGTTTCTTCGGGGTGATATGGTATGAAATTAATTCTCCCTGATGTGTTACATAAATGTGTACTGGGTGATGAAGATGAAGAGGTGTTAGAGTTTTTCTGTTCAACAGCTAGCATCATTTCTTGAAGTGTAGTTGTAAACTGTAAATATTCATCTTCCATATTGCATCTGCATTCAATTTCTCTACTAAGCTCATCCAAATCTGTGCGTGAATCTATTTCATCTTGTATTTGTTTGTACTTTGTCCAGTATTTGGTAACAGTTTTGAGCTTTACATTTAGTTCTGTCGCTGTTGGGTTGCCATTTAATAATCTGTTTGCTCGTGTAAATTGGCCTTTGACCACCGTTCTTGCTTTGATTAGTTTCTGTAGTGTCTGTTCTTCAGTCATTTTGTTTTCCTCGTCACCAATATTATGTACTTTAACTAATTTAATACAATTAAATTGTGCACATAATGTTGACTATGTAGTGTATATTTATTACTGAATAACTTCACATAAACATAAATAAAAACAACAACAAATAATTAACTGATCAGCTGGATTAAATAGGGACAGTCTTTGGAAATATGTATCATGTTGTAATTATTTATAAGCTCAAGAAGAGCTAAGACGTGCTACTCTATTGTAATCTTTTACGGCACGAAACTGTCAACAATGCTTTATGTTTCACTAATTAAATTTTGATTCTGTTCAAGTTTAAACACCACTCGGTCTAAAAAAAAACTTAGTCATTAAGTATTTGTTGTGATGTTTCCTTGATACAATAGATATTGAAAACGGGGATTGAAAGTTTAGGCTGGTAATCTCCCACCAAATCACACTATTGACTGCTGTCTTCTCCTGGTGAAATAACTTTGCTACTGTTACAAGCTGTAAACCTCTGCAGGAATTTTCCCCTACAGCATCCATATTAGACTTGTGGCCTTATAGAATTATTATCGATAATCACTTACATAAGAAATAAGCTTATAAAGTTAATCGTGCTTTAATAACATTTTTAGCGAATTTCCCATATAGGGAATAAGCTGTTACCGTAGTACTCATGGTAAGACCTGGACCCGGGACCGATATAATTTTTCATTTTGAGGTCCCTAGTGGCCAAAAACACCATCCGATCAAATTGATATATATATATATATATATACATGTCCGTTAGCGCGATAACTCGAGCAAAAATGATCCGATTTTGATGAAATTTGGTACAAACGTGTAAACCTACGTTTATTTATTCGTACGAGTTCGCGAACCAGCATAATCGGACCATGGGAACAGGGTAAAAACTGGATTTTCCCATTTTGACCCTAAAAACAAAATATTTAGCAATTTCTTTTTAAACCGTTTTGTAGAGGTTAAAAAAAGAAATAATTTAGTGTATTCAATTCAATTCAATTCAAACTTCTTTATTCATTATTTTGTACAATATATACATCGAATAATGTCAGGTTGTACAACTCAAACTAGCCTAAGTGACAATCTCATCCAATCTATGCAGGAGACTGAAAAAGTGTTTATGTACCTATTAATTATGACTGTGATGGGTGGAAAAAATCTTCAAAAGAATACGGAGCTATTTTAATCAGATATTCTTTTAATCTTTTTTTTTAATTTGTTTTTGTTACTTTCTTTTTTAATTTCTTTTGGAATTGTATTTAAATATCTTTGACCGATGTAGGAAGGTTTCTTTTCAAAAAATGTTGTTTGATGTTTATATGTTATTATGGAGTCTTTATGTCGAGTATTGTATTTATGAAGGGTTGAAATATAATCTGAAGGACGAGAATCAGCTTTCTTAATTGCCATTAAAATGCAGTCAAAAATATTCTGTTCAATAACAACATATTGTTAATGTTATATTGAAACGGTATTATTGTATGCCTAACGATCACGGAGAAAATTCAAAATAGTGTAATTTTAAATTCCCATGTTATTCTTATGGAGAAAATGAAAACTGTTGTAGTTTACTTGTTTATGGATATATGTTGATAACCCGTAGCAGCAAACCTAAGCACTCGTTAAATCTAATGTTTTTTTTTTAATTGGGAATAAATATGTCTGTAATCAGACAAGTTGAAATTCGCACACTCGTAACACTTTAAGTTGAAAAAGTAGAAAATATTCTCAACCGATTAACTAAAATACATTTCACTTTATATGTCCACTACATAAAGTAAAAATAATGCCAAACTAACCACTGCCACTTTGAAGTTGAAGTTTGGTCGGCAAAATGAAAATGTAAACAAACAAGATAATGACAGTTAACGATCAGCTGATCGTTGCAGAAAATATTGGAGTTTGCCGAAACAGCTGCAAAGCAGCGCCTATGCAAGACGCGGAGAGTTAGAGAACTAATATTGCATGTAATGCACACTGGGAATATTGTTGTGACAATATGATTGGCTGAGCTGGAACAGGTTATGTGCGCGCATGCGCCGAGTGGTATGATTTAAAACATGACATGGACATGAACTGAACACTGACGGACTGACGTCACTGACTGGACAGAATGACAGAATGTCAGTCAGAAAGAGAAAGAGAGATTCAAAATGGCGGAAATGAGCAATGGATATATTTCCATAAAACTGGAAAATGATATGGCTCGAAATGACCAAATGTTACGTATGAGTGTATTATTTATCTTAACTTGAATATTAAAAGTGATTATTCATTGGTAAATTACGAAGGACCACCGCAAATTACATTGCGGAAAATAATAAGAAACTTGAAAACATGTACCTTTACAAACTCCAGTGCAGACGTAGGGGGAAGTGGGAAAGATGGCGTATTTGAACTTCAGATTAGTGTCGGCGCTGTGACGAACCCTTGGTAGTTGGATGTTGGATGAGACGATTTTCGCTCTTCTTTCTGCTTTAAGGCTTGATGTTCGCACGTAACGCTAAGTCTTTTATTGTTCGTGGCCACTTTAATTACACGGAAGTCGCGACACCGCACAGGACACTTTGATTACTTGATGGTGCATGATTCGTAAGTTAATAAAACGCAAATAAAAATACTACTTGTCACTAAAACAACAAAAATAACTTCAGAATAAGATTGGGCAATATTAATTGCAATAAAAATGAAAACTGAAACAACTTGATGAAATAATGTAAATGGAAATGAGATTAAAAGAGGCGGCCGGTACTAGACCATATTAATAGGGCCGTGGACAGAGAGAGAATGACAGGATACCTGTCTGAGGCGAACGACAAGCGATAAGGACAATGACATGAATAGCGATAAGATTGTTGTCTGAAGATAAAACGGACTTGGGTTCTGTGGCTTTGGCGTTTGGCATTACCATTTGTATTTAAAATAAAATAAATATTCTTCTTTAGAATTAATATAAAGTTAATAGTTCCTTTTCCTTCTAAATACTAAACATACAGGGGGCCTTGAATCCTCCAGGATTCAACAAATCAACACAAAGATAATATTCCAATAAAATAAATCTTCTTTCCAAAGTGGTTGAGAGAAAATACTATTTACAAATTAAATTTCTTGAAGTTACTCTTGATAAGCAGGCAAAGGAAAAACCTTGTGAGCTGGTCGATTCAAGAGTCCTTGTTGAGTTTTCAAGTGGACGACCCGTACAACCTCATCCTTTCCAGGGGAGACACCTACAATCCGAGCTAACGGCCAAGAAAGAGGAGGAGTAGGCTGATGTACTAAGGCGAGGTCACCAATGCGAAGATTGGTATTTTGCTCATTCCATTTAACACTCGGAGTAGCCATCTCTTCCAGATGTGTTGGTTTAGGGCCTTGACCAAATGCCAGTGTTTCAGGCGATTATCAGGAACATCTTCCAGATTTTCATCAGGAACAGCGACAAGTGGAGCTCCGACCAAGAAATGTTCCGGAGTGAGCGCAGTGACATCTGAAGGGTCGTTTGACATTGGTGTGAGAGGTCTCGAATTAAGTATCGCCTCCACATGAGTAGTCAGGGTCATGAACTCTGAGAGGGTTAGGACATGTTCGCCGATGGCGCGGCGGAGGTGATGCTTGGCACTCTTAATGGCTCCTTCCCAGAGACCACCTTGGTGAGGAGCAGCTGGGGGGTTGAAATGGAAGGTAATGCCTTGGCTTGAGGAATATTCAAGAAGAGATGTTCGTTCAGCTGACTTGAAGAGAGCTTGAAAAGCGTTATTAGCACCAACGAAGTTTGTCCCGCAGTCCGAATATATGTTCTTGCAGAGGCCACGTCTTGACACAAAACGAGTTAGTGCAGCGATGAAGGCATCAGTAGATAGGTCAGTAGCTACTTCAATATGAACAGCCTTTGTTACGAGGCAGAAGAAGATACAAATGTACGCTTTTGTCAAACGTATTGAACGGAGGTTATGAACCTTGATGTTGAAAGGACCACCGTAGTCCAGCCCCGTGTTGAGAAATGGACGGGAAGGTGTCACTCGGGGTTTTGGGAGATCACCCATCAGTGGAATTTTATTATGTGGTTTGTGTCGAAAGCAGACAACACACTTAAAAATTCGAGAGCGTATTGCACTGCGGGCAGAAAGAATCCAAACGCTCTGAGCTAGAAGGGATTGAGTTAATTGAGGCCCTGAATGCAAATATTTCTTGTGATAGAAATCAATAAGAATGTCAACCACATGATGTTTCTTTGGTAGAATTATAGGATGCTTAACGTCTTCTGAAAGTTGAGATGCATTCAGTCGTCCACCAACACGAAGTAAACCTGATTTATCAATGAAAGGATGGAGACGCCGAAGTGATGAAGTGGTTTTAGATGAGCTGTTCTTCAACGCTGCAATGTCATCTCCAAAAACCGTTTCTTGAACCTTCTTGAAGATTGTCAGTCGACTTTGAGTTAACTCAGATGAGGTGAGAGGGCCTGAGCACCTTTTCGAGTGCCGGAGGTTATAGATGAATCGTAAAATGTAACCCATCACTCGTGTAAGTTTGCCGAAGTGAGAAAATCTAGTGAGGAGTTCCCATTCTTGAGTGGGTTTAATCGTAGATATCAGAGTGGTAGGTGACTGAGGTTTATCTTCTCCTGTTTTTGTAATATCTAGTGGAGTAAAGTTTGAGGATGGCCAAGATTCACTCGAATATTGAAGCCATAGAGGACCAGACCACCAAAGTTCGTGGTTAGACAATTCTGATGGGAGGATACCTCGTGACGCGCAGTCAGCGGGGTTATATTCACTGGATATGTGTCGCCAGCAATGATTAGGTACTAATTCTTGCACCTGCACAACCCTGTTCCCAACAAAGGTCTTCAATCGATGAAGTGGTGTCTGCAGCCAAGTCAGGGTGATAGTAGAGTCACACCAGAGAACGATAAATGAAATCTTTAATTTTATCTTGTAAATAGAAACCATATAGGCTACTATCTGGGCAAGAAGATGGGCGGTGCATAGTTCCAAGCGTAGAATAGTAAGTTTTTTCAAGGGAACAACCCGAGTTTTTGACATAATCTGCCTGATTGTGACAGTCCCATCACTGAGTTCACAGCACAAGTAAACAACTGCAGCATAACCATTCTCGGAGGCATCTGAGAAGCCATGTAATGCAGTAGTGCATGCTCGTGACACTTGAAGAGCTCGAGGAATTGAAATCTCTCGTAGGCTGTCTGTAGATGAAGTGAAACTTTGCCACATTTCAAGTAGGGCAGCGGGAAGTGTTTGATCCCAATCCAATCCTTTGGTCCACAAGAGCTGCATAAAACGTTTTGCCCACATCACAATTGGGGAGAGGAAACCACAGGGGTCATATATTTGTGCAATCACACTAAGCACCTGACGCTTTGTAGTTGCGCTTGCGGAAAAATTAAAATTGTATGTAAAACAGTCAGTAACTGGAGACCAGTGAATGCCTAAAATGGTATGATGAGGCTGTGAACTATCTTGAAGGAACACCGGAGTCTCTCGATGACCATCTGGAAGATCTAGAAGAAGTCGACTGGAATTGGAAGTCCATTTCCTTAACTCAAAGCCTCCACGTGCTAATAGGGCGATGAGTTGTCTCTGGAGTCTTAAAGCTTCTTCTTCGGAATCTCCACCAGAAATCACATCGTCAACGAAGGTTTGTGTTCGAAGAATCTCTGCCGCTTCAGGGAACGAGTCGCCTTCATCATTGGCAAGTTGGTGCAAAGTCCTGATAGCGAGGTACGGTGAGCAATTGACTCCATAGGTTACTGTGGTAAGTCTGAAGGTAGAGGGTGGTTGATCTGGACGAGTATGCCATAGGATATACTGAAACTTCTGGTCCTCAGGATGGACTTTAATCTGTCTGTACATCTGCCTTATATCACATGAAAAAACTACACTATGAGTTCTAAACATGAGCAACAAGTCACAAATGTTGGTTTGCATTTTTCTTCCTGTAAGCAAAATATCGTTGAGAGATGTACCATTGGAGGTTTTTGCGCTAGCATCGAACACAGTACGTAGTTTAGTGGTACTGCTTGATTCCTTCAACACCCCATGATGAGGTAAATAGTAATGCGAGGCGGATAAGTCAACATTATGAGCAAGTTCTATATGACCCGAAGACGAATAATCAGACATGAAGTCGAAATATAGAGATTTGAATTGAGGTTGAGCCTTAAACTTTTTCTGAAGTGAGTGTAGTCTTTTCTCAGCAGCAAAGACAGAATTTCCTAGAGCAGGGTGTTCAGTCTTGAACGGTAGTCGGTCGCAATATCTGCCAGATTGGTCCCGAGAGTGAGTGGAGAGGAAGTGTTCTTCACACATTTTATCATCATCTGATTGCTTCGATGCGACTGGTGGCTCTTTCTGGTGCCAAAACCGCTGGATAGAATTGTGCAGTTCAATGTCATTGACTGCCAAAAGCATGGTTGACATGTGAGAGCTAGTGTCATCATCAAGCTTGATTGCACAGGGTGCGTCACCCATTACCAAAAATCCAAAGTGTGAGCCTATTAAACTTGGTAGGTTAGGCCCGAGGTTGTGAACTGCTTGAGTGAGCATGAGAGGGAAAAGTGATCCACCTAAAAGAACATCAATCCCACCAGGTAAATGGAACGTGGGATCAGCCAAAACGTAAGAATTTACCATCTCAATGACACCAGAGGATATTGGCATGCGGGGTAAATCAACACATATTTTATCAAGAATCAAAAAGTTTGAGTCAGTAGAAATAGTTTTTCCATTCAATGTATCTACCTTGAGAGAAGTGGCACCTTTACATCGAGTAGGTATTTGAGAGAGGCCTACTACACTAGGCGCACTTTTTGTGCGTGAGACACATAAAAGTTGAGCAGCATGTTCTGTGAGAAAACATGATTGACTACCAGAGTCAGCGAGAGCTCGAAATATATGGCTAACTCCGGTGGGCGATACCAGCTTCACAAGTAAAGTGCCCAACAACACTGTTGAGGGATGGTGTGTTGTGGAACATCTTTCTTGACTAGTCAGGGCTGATGAGACTTGAGATGATGAATTTTCTTGATGAGCTGAGGAAGAATCACGAGTTGAAGTCTGAGGCGTAGCCTGGTTAGATGATTGACGAGGTTTACCATAAAAATGTAATAAAGTATGATGATTCTGATGGCATGTGTAACAGCTTGACTTAGATTTACAGTCACTCAGTAGATGATTCCCTAAACACGATGTGCACCGCTTATTCTCCTTTACGATCTGGTAACGGGCCTTAGGATCCTTATCTTTAAAGACCGAGCATGTATACACCTTATGATCAATTTTGTTGCATACAAAACATTTAGTGTACTTAGGGTAGGATTTGCTTTGATCACCAGAATGATAAGTCAGCATAGACACCTTATTACCTACCGATGATTTGTTGAATCTTGAGTTAATATATGAATTATCAGATGTTGTTTTCACATTATGACTGCTGTGGAGGTTTGCTTCTTCAATTTGATTACATTCTTTAGTGAGAAACTGAATTAACTCAGTCACATTAGGTAAGGCAGGGTTATCACCATCACTGTCAGATGGTATTTGAGAGAGGCCTACTACACTAGGCGCACTTTTTGTGCGTGAGACACATAAAAGTTGAGCAGCATGTTCTGTGAGAAATTTAAATAGTTAGGCCTACAGTACTACACTTGGACAACTTTATTATATTTTGTTATCTAAATAATACACTCATACGTAACATTTGGTCATTTCGAGCCATATCATTTTCCAGTTTTATGGAAATATATCCATTGCTCATTTCCGCCATTTTGAATCTCTCTTTCTCTCTTTAAGATCCAAACCTTAATTTAGGCCTATTTCCAAAAATTGAGAGTAAATCTTAATTAATTGCACGAAAAAGCTCAAATCGTTTCCTTAAATCACTATCCAGTTTTCTCAAAAGCATGGCAGACAGAAGGTGATTATTTTTTGTAGCAATTTCACTATTTAAGCCTTTGAGTGCTTGAATGTTTTCATTATATAAATTTACAAATTTTCTCATTTGTTTTGAGGTGTGATTTACTGAGGGTAAGTCAAGAATCTGATTTAAGTGCAGAGTAACTAATCGTCTAGGCGAATGATACCGCTCTTTCAACAAATCATAGGCTACTGTGTAATTTGCATCAGAAATAGGCAGGGGTTTAATTAAATTCAAGGGTTCCCCAGAAACAATGCCTAATAAATACTGAAATTTCACCACATCAGACAAAGATGAGTTTTTATGAATGCTAGAATCAAACAAATTTATAAAGGACACCCACTCCAGAGGTTCACCACTGAAATGTTTAAGTTCAAGCTTGGGTAAGCGTACAACCGAAGGTTGTGGAGTCGGAGTCTTATCACTCTTATTTTTTGAGGATTGGAGTTTACTTTCAAGGTTGGCAACATTGGCATTAATGTAGTCAATTAATTCATCAACACTATTTAGAGGAGCATAGTTGGGTTGAAAGTTAGGATCTTTTGCTAATTCAAGTTCATGGCAGGCATCTAAAGCCTCAGAGAAATCATCTCGGAGTTTATTTACAGACTTAGCCCGAATCAAAAACCTTTGTTGAATATCCTTATCAGACACTTTCTTGGACAAATCATATATCATCTGAATTTGAGTGAAGGCATTATCCTTTCTTGCCTTTACAACAGCAATGGAGCCATGGTTGCATAGCTATCTTCTGCTTTAACCTTAATTTAGGCCTATTTCCAAAAATTGAGAGTAAATCTTAATAAATTGCTATATCTTAATGAACACTGAAGGTTAGGTTCATGAACCAGTAAATAACCAGCTTGGTTTGTCTTTATAAAATAATAAAGCATAGGCTATGATGATAAAAATATAATAAAGTTGTCCAAGTGTAGTACTGTAGGCCTAACTATTTAAACTTGGAATAATTAGTTATATTTCAGTAAATAGGCCTACTTACAGCCACAGTCCAAAACATGACAGTATTTCATTATTCAAATCAATCAGCAGAAAATCCATTTTCTTCTTGTATAGATTATTCAATTTTATTTTGTAACACTTTAAGTTGAAAAAGTAGAAAATATTCTCAACCGATTAACTAAAATACATTTCACTTTATATGTCCACTACATAAAGTAAAAATAATGCCAAACTAACCACTGCCACTTTGAAGTTGAAGTTTGGTCGGCAAAATGAAAATGTAAACAAACAAGATAATGACAGTTAACGATCAGCTGATCGTTGCAGAAAATATTGGAGTTTGCCGAAACAGCTGCAAAGCAGCGCCTATGCAAGACGCGGAGAGTTAGAGAACTAATATTGCATGTAATGCACACTGGGAATATTGTTGTGACAATATGATTGGCTGAGCTGGAACAGGTTATGTGCGCGCATGCGCCGAGTGGTATGATTTAAAACATGACATGGACATGAACTGAACACTGACGGACTGACGTCACTGACTGGACAGAATGACAGAATGTCAGTCAGAAAGAGAAAGAGAGATTCAAAATGGCGGAAATGAGCAATGGATATATTTCCATAAAACTGGAAAATGATATGGCTCGAAATGACCAAATGTTACGTATGAGTGTATTATTTATCTTAACTTGAATATTAAAAGTGATTATTCATTGGTAAATTACGAAGGACCACCGCAAATTACATTGCGGAAAATAATAAGAAACTTGAAAACATGTACCTTTACAAACTCCACTGCAGACGTAGGGGGAAGTGGGAAAGATGGCGTATTTGAACTTCAGATTAGTGTCGGCGCTGTGACGAACCCTTGGTAGTTGGATGTTGGCTGAGACGATTTTCGCTCTTCTTTCTGCTTGAAGGCTTGATGTTCGCACGTAACGCTAAGTCTTTTATTGTTCGTGGCCACTTTAATTACACGGAAGTCGCGACACCGCACAGGACACTTTGATTACTTGATGGTGCATGATTCGTGAGTTAATAAAACGCAAATAAAAATACTACTTGTCACTAAAACAACAAAAATAACTTCAGAATAAGATTGGGCAATATTAATTGCAATAAAAATGAAAACTGAAACAACTTGATGAAATAATGTAAATGGAAATGAGATTAAAAGAGGTGGCCGGTACTAGACCATATTAATAGGGCCGTGGACAGAGAGAGAATGACAGGATACCTGTCTGAGGCGAACGACAAGCGATAAGGACAATGACATGAATAGCGATAAGATTGTTGTCTGAAGATAAAACGGACTTGGGTTCTGTGGCTTTGGCGTTTGGCATTACCATTTGTATTTAAAATAAAATAAATATTCTTCTTTAGAATTAATATAAAGTTAATAGTTCCTTTTCCTTCTAAATACTAAACACTTAGTCTGCAGGTTTGCTGCGGCGGGGGTATACTAAAAGTAGGAGGGAGTAAACTAAATAGGAGCATTTATAAAACTGGAAAACTAATAAAATATGTACTTACTTATTTTTGCAAGGAAAACTTTCTCACATTAAACTAGAATATCTGAAATCTATAGAAATAATCAAATTTATGATTAAGTAAAACAATATTATGTTTTCTCGCCACAAACTTTGAGGGGTGTTTGTTTTGTCACCACCTTGCAGCTTCTACCTAAACTAAGCCTATGTCCCACAACGCTTTGGACTGGAGCGTTGGTGCGCGTATAGCTACACTCACGACCTGTCCCACGACGCGTGTCGCGTCGGTCTGGGGGCCACAGTGGATAGTGTACAATATAGAGACCTCCGTACTACTTTTTATTTGTATTTACAGAAAGTATACCTATGCAAGAGCAAATTGCTGTTTCTTTGAGATTTCTTGTCACTGGGGACAGCTATGTTAGTCTTGTCATTTTTGTTCAGACAAACTGTATCAAGATGCGTCGATGAAGATTGTACTGCGTTAATTGAAGAACATAAAAATGAAATAAAGGTAAATAATGTTCGTATAAAGGATTTTATACATCAGGTTACTTTTCCTTGCAGGTTATAGGATGTTACTTATTATGTTATATTATGTTATATTAAAGTTAAACATTTAAATAAATAAAGTCAACTTTTTTAAATGATTCTCAAATATTATTAATTGATTGATAATGATGATAATGTTTATTTAATTTCTTTCAACAACAGTTTACGAAACATGTATATCTAAATAGGACTAGCGCAGGGTAGTCCTCGCTCCAACCCGCGCCTTTGATGTTTACCAACATTTTGCGGGAACGGACGTGCAACCCCGCTCCACGCCACTCTTGCGCGCACCACCACGCGCTTACCCTGTCCCACGACGTGAGGCGTAGCACACCTCACGCCGTGCACACGGCGCAACGCTCCGTGGGACATAGGCTACGTAAGATGGTCTAATAATGATCATGTCCATTATTGTGAGCGAGTTAGTGAAAATATTGAAGCGCTCACTATTGATGATGATTATCAAAGAAACATTGATAACATTGCTAATAGCAATCGCCAATCGGTATCTAACGCACACTTCAATAGAAAAGATGTTATAGGTAGCTGTGGCTGTTGGTTCTTCACAGGAGCTGCAGCTATGTCCGAAAAGGATCTGGGCACAGCAGACAATAGGTCCGTCTGAGTCGCCTTGGCCTTTACCGTGGTACTTTTGATAGATATAGATCACGTCAAAATTGCGTTTGATATATTCAAACAACCCTTTCCATTTATATTGTATGTTTTAGGATTAAAAAATAGGGATGAGCCTTTTCATATTAATTCATCTATTATCTTGCTTGCCACGGTTGACTACTGTCAGTTTATTATATTGATTATTTAAACTGAAGTTAATAAAACATGATGAACACATACATTGCATGTTTAATAGCACAACTCGTTTAGTCAAATCATAGTCGTTAAGCATATCATGGTAGTTCTAAATACCTTCAAAAATAGTTATATTAGTTTAATAAATTTTATGTTACACATTTATTTGTCTATTTATCAAAACCGTATTGTGCATAGACATAAGGACTATGGGTGCGTATGTAGACTAAATCAGTGCGTAGTCCTTTGTAGGGTTTACTATGACAGTGTTACTGCTACCAAGTATTTATGTTGGTCACTCTAGTGAGTGTTAACCTCCTCCAAACATGTGAGTTTGGGCAAACCAGTGTAAACAGAGTTAATTCCTCTAACCTCTCTAACGCTTTACTGTGGTTGAGAGCCAAATAGCGGTTTGTAAACAACCTCTTAGTGTGTAATTCAGCTAACTAAAAACGGTTCTTATTTTGAAAACTTAGTGAGCCCAAACCTTGTACGTTTTTATTTAGGAAGTATGTGTATAGTCAATGGTATAAGCTATTCTTAGCTCTTGTTTTGATACTAACTCTTGCTAAAAACAACTAAGCCCAAATCTGGATCACCAGCAAGTGTTTAGATAGTTGTTTTTTTCTTTTTTTTGCATCTGGGATAAGACATTACTCGATCGTTTGACATTCTATAACAACTTAAAATCATAAAACCACATAACCTGTCTTTACATAGAAAAGTTCAGTTTTAATTATTTAATCGATGCAGATTTTGTTTACCTGAATATATATTGTGAATTAGAACTGAAGTTTTTTAATGCCATATTAAAATGGGTGAGGTTGGATAGCAATGTTACCGGACAAACCCGATTTTGGACAAACTAGTTTGGACTAGGATTATCTAGTTATTTTTTATCACCATAGGATAAACTAGTTTGGCCTTCTTTTTCCCTGATTAAACTAGAACCTGGGCCTAATAGCGCTAGGATAAACTAGTTTTGTCTGGTTTAATTTTTAGGCCAAACTAGTTAGGTAAGGTTAGGCTAGGCTACGTTAGGTTGGGTTAGGCTAGGTTACGTAAGGTCAGGTTGGTATCCATAATAAGGTTGGAGCAAAAAAACTAGGCTGCAAAACAAATAGATGCTTTTGTAAAAAGAAAAAATGTAGTGTGCAATTCCAAATGGCATATTTGTAATGTAACAATATGTAAACAATATAGTATATTTCGTACCTAGGGCCAAAAATTAGTTAAAAATGTACCTAGAGCTGCAAACCATTTTGATCCGTGGTACGAACGCTATTTTTCACCACACTATACCCTACTACCACTATTTACCACAACAGTAATGCACACTAACAGTCAACACAACTACAAATTTAAGGTTATGTAAAGAAATAATTTGAGGAATCAGCAAAAATAATAATAATAATAGTTGCTAGGCAGCGGGGGGGGGGGGCAATAAAACAAGTAGTCCATTGCAATGCTATGGATACTGATTGTGTATTTAATATGCAGCTGATTTTCGGCCCTAGGGATGTAAAAACCTGCTCTGTCCCCAAATAACGATGACAGCTGGCATAGACAGCAATACGAAGCTTTCGGCCTCCAATAAACGTTTGTAAAACAGCTAAAAACATCGTAGTGTGGTGAAAAATACGTTAAGTTTGGTCCCGCAGAATATAGAGATGTTAATCATTCATTACCCTTAAACTTTTTATAATACTCCTAGTAAATGTTTGAACCCAAAAGTTTGGCCTGGTCTAAAGCAGGTCAATTTGGTTTATCCGAACGCCACCCGGCCAAACCAGATCCAAACTAGTTCGTCCTAAGGTGATCAGGAAAAGCTAGATCATCCTAGTCCAAACTAGCTTGTAATAAAAAAAAGGTTTTTTTTAGGTTTCCAGTGTATCTGTTGAACCTTTTGAACTTTAGATAGAAAAATTGACAAGATATTTAGATAAAACATGCATTGATAGATAGAACATCACATTTCAAAGATATTTCATTAATATTTTGGGCAAACATATTGAGTATGACTGATAAAAAAAGGTTACAAATAAAATATCTTCGAAAAAATCTCGATTAAAATAATTTTTCGTTTTGACAGTTCTTTATGATGTAACCATTCAAGCTTTTGGCTTGCAACTTAACCAAAAGTTGTAGAATTTAACGGAAAAAAGGAAATATGAGTTTATGCATACCTTTTATTGCGATTATTTGTGTTGGAATCCAAAATATTGTAAAATATCAAAAATTAATTAAATCAAGAGAAATAAACAAACTTGTATATTTAGCTTATTTTTAAACACATCCTAATAAAAGTTGGTATGTGGGTTCTCCCAATAACACATTTATTTCGCATTTTTTATTCGCTATCAAACGATACCAGGTTCAAAAAGATCGAATAAGAAATAGCTGAAATATTACGATGTTTAGTTGTAAAATGGGGTAAACCTGACTAGCTTAGCCTTGGCGTTTTTTTTTTTTTTTGTTTTTTTTTTTTTTTTTCATAAAATCAACCACTTTTTTGTAATACAATTTCAGTTTAAGAAATTAAAATGGCCACCATTTTGAAATCTTTGATAAATCAAGATGATTTTTTTATAACATGAATCTCTTCCACCTCAACATATATACCAAGTTTCATAACGATCAGTTTAAAAACTTTAAAGATATAAATGTTAATGTGGGAAAAAAGGCGCATATCTGGTTAACGAAACGATTTTGGGAAAAAATGTTATTCTTGATTTTCTCTTTATTTTGACCCATAAAACCATTTCCCGGAGTTTGGATGTTTACTTACGGGACCCCCGTATAAAGTTTCCAAATTGTCCGTCATCATCCAGTGATTTCTTATTTAAGAAGCCTCATATAAAAAGTTGACGTATTTCGTCTAGATAAAATTGGAGACTAAAGGAGGATTAATATTTATCTATTTTAACTTAATGTAGGCCTAACTGATTTGCATACAATATCTCTAATATTGCTTGTAATATATTGCCAATGAAACGTAATACTCTATGACATTCGTAATACTAAAGCACTATTCAACAATTAAGTAGTTGTTTTTTAAAAACTACGTAGTACGTACTTGTTTTGACATAAAATCATTTTCCATAACATGTAAAGCTATTACAGGGCTGTGCTGGTCTGAGATAGATAAGAACCAATACCAATGAGGGTAAGAGTCTCTTAACAAAGTTAGTTTACAGCATTTCGTCCACTTTAGTAGAGTTAGCCATTATTTAATGCAATAGTTTGAAATTGTTTCAATTTGCAACAACCAAAACGGTTTAATAATGTAATTTTTACATTGATAAAAGGTCTAACCTGAAAAATTGCCTCCTCATGTTTGACACTACAGAAGGCCCACGGACGATGAGTGTCACTTCCGGTGCTGCCCAAGGTTCCATACTCGGCCCAGATCTCTGGAATGTCGCGTATGACAGCCTTCTGAGGTCTAAAATGCCTGAGGAAACTGTTTTGGTTGGGTACGCAGACAACGT